GCGGGGCAGTCTGGACGTGCTGCGCCGACAAAGAAGCCTTTCTTGATCGGCACAGGTATGCCTCATGAAACCAGGTTTACCTGTGCCGGTCAAGAAAGGCTTCTTTGTCAGACACCTGACAGGGATGGTCCAGATGGTGCTTGGTCCTTCCATGAGGGCAGGGGACTGGATTCGATGACCTCTCGAGGTCCCTTCCAGTTCTAGTGTTCTATGGTTCTATTATGTAGCTTAAAAAAGGGACGGTTCAGAGGTAACTTAATCTCGGTCTGGAAGGACTTGCCTGAGAAACAGATGTTTAATAATGGGCTCCTCAGCCTAGCAGAGAAAGGTGGGACTCCAGCGGTGGGAAGTTCAGCTGTTCTCAGTGGTGGAAGATGGAAGGACAAGGAGAATTGTCTCAAGTTGCAGTGGAGGAAAGGGGAGGTTGGATATGAGGAAAAACGATTTCCCTAGGCAGGTGGGGAAGCACTGAGATGGGTTCCCTAGGGAGGGGGTGAAAACTCCCTCTCGAGAAGTGTTTAAGTCCCGGCTTGACCAAGCTCTGGCTGGGATGATTGAGTTGGGATTGGTCCTGCTTTGGGCTGGGGGCTGGACTTGATGCCTCCTGATGTCTCTTCCCGCCCTAGGATTCTACGAAGCTAGACAAACTCACCCTGGAAATACGGTGTAAATTGTTACAAGTGAGGGTAATTAACCAGTGGGACTATTTGCCCATGGCTATTGTGGCTTCTCCACCACCGATAAGTTTTCAGATCAGGTGTAACGCAAGAGAGATTTTTCACACCCCAGAGCAACATAGCTGGGGAGCAAACACTTTGTCTACGTCTACACTGGCATGATTTTCCGGAAATGCTTTTAACAGAAAAGTTTTCCGTTAAAAGCATTTTTGGAAAAGAGCATCTAGATTGGCAGAATGCTTTTCCGCAAAAGCACTTTTTGTGGAAAAGCGTCCGTGGCCAATCTAGACTCGCTTTTCCGCAAAAAAGCCCCGATCGCGAAAATGGCGAAAAGAAATCTGTGCTGTCTACACTGGCCCTTTTGCGCAAAAGTTTTTCGGAAAAAGACTTTTGCCCGAATGGGAGCAGCATAGTATTTCCGCAAAAACACTGACAATCTTACATGAGATCGTCAGTGCTTTTGTGGAAATTCAAGCCGCCGGTGTAGACAGCTGGCAAATTTTTCCGGAAAAGCAGCTGCTTTTCCGGAAAAAGTGGCCAGTCTAGACACAGCCTTTAGGTATAAGTTGTACACATTCTCTCTCACATTTACCATCTCCTCCTGGTCCTGGATCACCAGGAGGCGAGACCTTTTCCTGGAGCAGTCCTCCTTGCTCCCGTTCCAGTCCCGATTCCCTTTCGAGAACCAATAGCACTGTCCGCTGTGAGACAGCCAGTCCATGGGGCAGAGTCTGCACTCAGAGGCCCCTGCTGGGGGGAAGGAATGCAGTATTAATGGGAGTGAAGACACATCCTGGTTCAACGCTTCCCAAACTCTACGTTTGGGGATTTGATTGCAGGTCGGGTAATCTGGCTTCCCTGCTGCCGTGTGACCTGCGAAAAGGCAGGGCAACTCCCCCCGTGCCTCAGTTTCCCCATCTGTCATATAGGGGTCGTATTATTTTGTTTATCTATCTTGCAAACTCTTTGAGGCAGAGACTGTCTCATTGTGTCTGTGCAGTGCCTGGCTCAACGGGGCCCTGATCCCTGCTGGATCAGGGCCTATCTCTCGCTGTGTGTAGAATGACGGAGACGCTTGATGGGCCTTCAAGATGGAGAATAAGACAGAGAATATCTTATTGCCTCTGTATAAATCCATGGGAAGCCTACGTCTTGAACACTGCATACAAATGAGGTTGCTTTCTCTTAAGAAAAAAAACAAAAAACAACCTTTATCTTAGCATTGGAAAAAAAATCAGAAAAAGGCTCCAGAAACGATGAGCGATTTGCACCAGCTGCCTGATGAAGGGGGGGGAACCCAAAATTGCCCACACGGGGCTGGGTTCCTGCTCCCTTTTCTGAAACATCCCAGCCTGACCACTGAGGAGAGATGCAGTCTTCAAAATTTGGAGACTCCCACCCTCTGTGCACCCCCCTCTGGAACCAGAGCCAGGCCATGGGTGGGTTATGAGGTCATGGGGCTGAGGTGTGGGCCAGGAGTGGAACTATACGGTAATTCCTCATTTAACACATGCCCGTGTGACACGTTTTCACAATGGCACCATTTTTTTTTTAAGGAACTTTTTTGAATTACACGACCGTCCCCGGAATAACACGATTTCCCCAGCATAACACGACTTCCCCAGCTGGCCTGTTGCCGGCGGCTGCGCAGGGCTTCCCCCGCCTCCCTGCAAAGCGGCGGAGAGTTCGCTGCTCACCGCGCCATTCCCTGGCGACCCCCCCTCACCAGACGCAGTGTGGGTCCAGGCAGACCCATCACAGGGGCATCCTCCCAACCCAATACCCCTCCCGTCTTCTCTGCTTTCCCTTCCTCAGAGCCAATCACCTCACCTCCCTGCTGTAACCCAGTCCCCTTTCTCCCCCAACCTTATGTCCCGGTCCCAATAGACACCACGCAACCCCCATCTTTTCCATTATTTTCAGTGGGAAAATTGACCCCGCATAGCACGTTTTCACTGAACACGATCATTTTCTGAAACGTATCGATAGTGTTAAGTGAGGAATTACTGTATGAGCTACCCTGGCTGGCCACTAGGTGTCACTGCTGCTCCTCCCACCCCATGCGAAGATGCTTGTGGGGAGCAGGGCTGCAGGTCCCCAAGGCAGAGCAGCTCTGGAGGGGGCTGGTGGCCCACGTGGGCCCGGCTGCAGGACGGAACTGGTGTAGGAGGAGCCCTGAGCGATGCACGGCAGCAGCAGAGGTGGAGCTAGGCAGGGGCACGGCGCAGGCCCGAGAGGCGCTGGAGGTACCTGCTGCGCTGTCCTGGGATTGGAACTGGCACAGATTCTGTCTCAGGTGAGCAAGGACTCCCTCAGGGCTGCTGCTTGGTCTTCTCTGTCCCGACTCCCCGTCCACAGGGGTGCTTGGCGGGGGTCCCGTCTGTCCGTTGTGAGAGCTGCCCTGGAAAACTTCCCACACGGCATCCGTGTGAACAGGGGACAGAGAACTGACTTCCCTTATCGCAGGTGGGAGAAACCACTAAGAACATGAAGCCCAGCTCGCCCCTTGGAGAAAGACACGCAACTGTGAAAAGCGCAGAGGCAAAGTCTATTTTGTTCCTATTTACATAGAAATGTGAAACTGGAGTGTGTCCGTTTTTCCGTTTCCCTTTTAGCGCAGAGGCAAAGTCTATTTTGTTCCTATTTATATATAAACGTGAAACTGGAGTGTGTCCGTTTTTCCATTTCCCTTTCCTATTACCTGTCGTCATCTCTTAGCGCCTTCATGTTTTTCTCGTCTGCTCTTGTCTATTTCCAGCTAGCTCTGTAATGTTTTGCTGTAAATTATTTTCTCTGGTCTCCCCTGCCAATTTGCCTGCACCTCATTCATTTCTTTCTTTGGTGTTAGCATCTCTGTTCTCAGCAGAGCGGGTCCAAAGAACCCAGATGGAACAATGCAGGAAAATGCGGTGTCATCCACATTGAACCATATTGCAGACTTCGTCTGTTTCGGTGAAATTTTGGAAGCGGAAAAAGTCTAACGGTATTGTTTAGACAGGTTTTGTTTCACAATTTTTCCATCCGGTAAAAGCATTTTGTTATGACTATACTTTTGATTCATTTAGATGTTTACGTTGCAGTAAATGTGAATATGTTATATTTTATACTAAATATTCAGTGTACTTGATCTCTTATTTTATGTTGCTTTATAATGTTTCAGCCTACTCAGACCAACTTGATAGTTCTCAGTCAAAAAAAATGGAATTTTTACCCGTGGAAAATTCCAAAATGTTGGCTTGTCATTCCAATTTGGAATGAATCAACATTTCAAATTCTCGGAATTTCCCACCGAACCAGAATTCCATCTTTTAACGAACACGCACAGCCCAGTTCTGGGAATGGAGTCTAGGATGTTAATTTGTTCTTCCATAGCTATCAGGGTCTGTATTGTTCACCATAAGAACATTGTAAAGACTTCCCAAAGTAGGGGAGCATGGACAGACCACTGGCAGCATCTAGACTGGCAAGTTTTTCCGCAAAAAGCAACTGCTTTTGCGGAAAAACTTGCCAGCTGTCTACACTGGCCGCTTGAATTTCTGCAAGAACACTGACGATCTCATGTAAGAAATCAGTGCTTCTTGCGGAAATGCTATGCTGCTCCCATTCAAGCAAAAGCCCTCTTGCACAAATGCTTTTGTGCAAGAGGGCCAGTGTAGACAACGCGGTATTGTTTTGCGCAAAAAAGCCCCGATCACGAAAATGGCGATCGGGGCTTTCTTGCGCAAAACCGCGTCTCGATTGGCACAGACGCTTTTCCGCAAAAAGTGCTTTTGCGGAAAAGCGTCCGTGCCAATCTAGAAGCTCTTTTTCACACGTGCTTTTAACGGAAAACTTTTCCGTTAAAAACATTTGCGGAAAATCGTGCCAGTCTAGACATAGCCACTGAGTTTTTCTCCAGAGCATCTTCTCAGTCCATCTCTAGCTATTATGGTTGTTGGGAGCCCTCTAAAAACTTTGACCCAACTGGAACGGATCCAATAACTTGTGCCTGAGTCTTCTGAGAGCCTGACTCAACAGCCCTGGTGTATGAACTTCCCCATCCATTTAACAGCTGCCAACTTGCAGGCAACAAGTCTAAGTCCAAAAAGGAGCCATCTGAACATTCTGACTAATGAACTGTAAAAAGTCTTGTTTGTCATGAGAACCAAATAGCAGTGGTATATTTAACTCACGTTCCCTTTTTTAAATGGATGAAATTTAAAGGTGACAGTGTCTCTTTAAGGACCCTAATCAGGAAACCTTTGAAGCATGATTTTAAAAGCAGACATAGGTGTTTACCTGAAATGGTGCCTAACCATTTCCTGTTCAGAGGCTATGATGTTACCAGTGATGCAGTCTCTGAATATGAGGACACCAAATGAAATTAATGGGTAGCAGGTTTAAAACTAATAAAAGGAAGTTCTTCTTCACACAGCGTGTTGTCAACCTGTGGAACTCCTTGCCAGAGGAGGCGGTGAAGGCTAGGACTATAATAGAGTTTAAAGAGAAGCTGGATAAATTCATGGAGGTTAGGTCCATAAAAGGCTATTAGCCAGGGGATAAAATGGTGTCCTTGGCCTCTGTTTGTCAGAGGCTTGAGAGGGATGGCAGGAGACAAATCGCTTGATCATTGTCTTCGGTCCACCCTCTCTGGGGTACCTGGTGCTGGCCACTGTCGGCAGACAGGATACTGGGCTAGATGGACCTTTGGTCTGACCCAGTACGGCCGCTCTTATGTTCTTATGTTCTTATGGGATAGCACTTTTCAATTTGTAACCCATGAATTAGTGAATAATTGAGGTAGGAAAAGCCAGACACTCAAGGCTAAACCTGCTTGCTTCTACCTGCTAAATTACTATGCTAAATTACATTATTTTCCTAATGTTCCCCTTTCCACTTAAACAATACGGCTGTGGCTAGACTGGCATGATTTTCTGGAAATGCTTTTAACGGAAAAGTTTTCCGTTAAAAGCATTTTTGGAAAAGCGCGACTAGATTGGCATGGACGCTTTTGTGCAAAAGCACTTTTTGCGGGAAAGCGTCCGTGGCCAATCTAGACGTGGTTTTCCGCAAAAAAGCCCCAATCACCATTTTCGCAATTGGGGCTTTTTCACGGAAAACAAATCTGAGCTGTCTACACTGGCCCTTTTGCGCAAAAGTTTTGCGCAAAAGGGACTTTTGCCTGAATGGGAGCAGCATAGTATTTCCGCAAAAAGCACTGATTTCTTACAGTAGGAAATTTCAAACAGTGCTTTTGTGGAAATTCAAGCAGCCAGTGTAGACAGCTGACAAGTTTTTCTGGAAAAGCGGCTGATTTTCTGGAAAAACTGGCCAGTCTAGACACAGCCTGTCTGGCATTCCACAGGGATTATAAACATAAGGGACTGTGTGTAACCCCTGCCCCATAAGTGGGTCATCAGTAGCAGGGCTTGAACCTGGAACATCTAGGTCTACAGAGAGGAAGTCTCTCCTGCCTGAGCTAAGAGTCCAAGTTTGACTAGCTAAGGCTGCAGCAGAGTCATCAACCAAACTCGCTGGAAACTTTTCTTGGAAACAATTTTCTGTTGTAAAAAATGCCGTTTTTTCGACACTTTGTTTTTGCCAAATGTTATTGATTTTTGACAATATGGCTTGCACAAAACGTCGCAAAATTAAAGTTTATTTTTCCAAAAAATTGACATGCTGTGTCAAACCTTAATTTTAGTTTCACACCTTTATTTTGCTTTTTCCTGTTTATTATTTTGACCCTGTCCCATGACATGTTCATGGCAGTGGTGCGTATTTGACACGTCAGATTACAGCCATGCAATAGTCAAAATAGTTGATTATTCTGTATATTTTATCTTAGTTTCCTTTGAAAATACCTTTCAAGGCAGGTGTTGCTTAGTGCAGATGGAAACTCCTTATTTTTTAATCAAAGTGTGGCTTATTTGTGTTGCACAGAGACCGTTTGAGACTGACCCATGAGCTTGGTATGTTCCCCATCACCACTAGAGGGAGACAAAGTGCCAGACGGGAAGGGGGCGGGTTACACACGAATACACCCCTGAGGGCAGGTCTATCCTGTGCACACCGATGTCGGTGCGTCGGGTTTGTGTACACACCCAAAGGCAGCTGTATCCAGGCTAGCTTGCACAGCGGCAGGTCAGGGAACGGTTCTGGCTGGGAGGAAGTGGTGGGCGGAGGCTCATAGCAGGAAATTTCTGGAGATTTTTCCCGCCACTGGAGTCTTTTCCAGCAACCGGGGAAGGCTCCCGCCGGAGCTTTTCACCGCTGCCTTCCCAATGTCAGAGTCTTTCCCCACTTCCGAAGCCTCTGACAGGGGCACACGACACTGCTGCTGTAGCTTTGTCTATGGGAGAGGTACCACCAGGGCAAGTTGGGAACCGTGGAGAGGGTACACCTGGGTACGTCCCCACCAGGCTCAGCATGTCTTCTCCCTAGTCGCCTGCACTGGCTAGTGGCACCAAGACCACTTAAGCTAGGTCTAGAAGAAGACTACCTTCGGTCTAGATATGCAAATTAGGCATGAATTTTCATATCTTCTTCCCATTTCTTTTTCGGAAGAGGTTTTTTTTTGTAAAAAAAAAAGCATTTAGACGGGGTTTTTCGCGCACCCCCTCCTTTTTTTAAAAAAAAAATCTCATTTTTTTGAGGCAGAAGGGTTCAAAAAAGGGGTTTTTTTGCATGAAACCCCCTCATCTAGACTGCTTTTTAAAAATAACTTCTTCTGAAAAAGGGATTTGAAGAAGATATGCAAATTCATGCCTAATTTTCATAGCTTCTTTCAGAAGCCAAGGGTAGTCTAGATTTACAGAGAAAACCATACGCCTGCCCTACAGCCTTAGCTGAGAGCCAGCTGGGTTTTAGCTCATGCTGTAGACAGAGGCTCATGCACTGAGCTCCAGAGGTCCCAGGTTTGATTCTGCCCATAGACAACCTGGGTCGGTCAGTGTTCTATTCCACACACCACCAAAAAAGAGTGTGTATGTAGAGGTGCCTTCAGAGATGATCTGTGCTGTGGAAAAACGTGAGTCACCTCAGTAGCTCCATAGAAAACACTGAAGCTGTGTTCCTCCCCCACCCATGTGTTTACAAAGCAGACAAGATTTAGACACTCACCTGGCACTGACAGAAGGATCACGGCTAATGCCAAAATGAGGCAAACAGCCCCCAGGATCCCTAGTGGGAGTTTGCAGCTCTGGGACATTGAAGAGGAATCTGTAAAAAATGCAGTTTGGTGAGAAACTATGGGCTCACATTATGTCGATAGGCGTTGCTAGGTAATACCTGTAATGCAACGCAGTTTGGTGAGAAACTATGGGCTCACGTTATGTCGATAGGCGTTGTTAAGTAATACCTGTAATGTAATGTAAGAACAGCCATACGGCATCAGACCAAAGGTCCAGCTAGCCCATTAAAGTCCTGGTTTCACAACATTATACACTGAAATTTCTAATGCAGCCCTACATGCGGTAATGTACAATACAGTTTGCACAACTGATCTTGGCTTGATATTTTCCCCCCGAAAGCCCGAATGAACTCTACTACAGTCCAATGAAGAAAATGCGGCAGCAGGTTTTCAAGTGATGGGTGCAGATTTTCAAAAGGGACTAGGGATTCCGGGGACCCAAATTTAGACACCACCAAGGGCTCTGAATTTCAGAAAGCGCTGAGCCCCGCTGCTAGCCAAACCCTCTCCAATTTATGCAGTTTGCTCTTGAATGATAAGTTAAAAGAACTGGACATAGAATTCCACTGCAGGCCCACCAGTGCCAAATACAGAGGTAAAACCCTCTCTCTACTTCACCTACTCGATATGCTCTTGTTCATGGATCCAAGAGTCACATTCGTGTTTGGTTATTCCCAGTCCGACTCATCTGACGAAGTGGGTTTCTCCCTCGAAAGATCATGATCCTCTCTATATTTGTTAATCTCTAGGGTGACACTTCATAGTTTTTAAAGTTACAGACTAACACAGCTGATCCCCTGTGACTAATTATTGTTTGGTTTTCTCGTGCTGTTGGGGGTTCACAGTCAGCTGGTCAAGAATTTACCAACAGATTTTTTTTTTTTATCAGAAAATGCCGATTCATCAAAACATCTCATGAAAGAGAATCAGTTTCATGAAAGCTTGGTCAAGAATCAGGCAGAGGTGAAAGTAAGCGGGTGCGCCGCAGTGCGCAGCTCTGGCAGGTGCCGGCTGAGCCGGGGCAAGGACCCCGCATTGCGATAGGACAGTACTTGTAAGAACCGTTACCTTTCACCGCTGGATTCAGGAGTGGGTGAAGCGTGGCCCTGAGATACGGGGGAACCAGCCTCAAGTCCCTGGCTTATCAAAGGATCTTGCTTTTTGTTCTGCTGCAGAATTAAAACAAACGCGGAGACCTCGACCTTTTTCAGAAATGCCCCGTTGTCCGGCCAGAAACGAAGCAGCTTGGAAAACGGGCGCCGATTGGAATGGAAGGTCCAAATCCCATTGATCGGGATGGATTCTGGGTGTCTAAATCTCTTAGGCAGTTTTGAAAATCTCAACTGCAAAAGACGAATATCCATTTCTGGACAGGAACGAGGAAGGTCTGGTCGTGGGGCCAAAGAAAAGCCAGTGTGGAGAATAGCGCTCAAGAGCTATACGCATCCCTCGTTCTTTCCCTGCAACACGCTCGTGAAGAGAAATTTGTTAAAGTCCGTACCTTGGATCTGGCCTGGGGTCAGGCGGACGGTGGAGTTCTCCTGGGCTTGGAGATTTAATACTGTGTAACCTTCCTCATCCTGCATCTTCCAAGCTTGCCCAGCGAATGACGAGAAGAGAAGAAGCCAATGACTCCCCGCTGCCTCCACCACAGCCTCGGCCTGTCCGAATGAGGGTAAACAGGAAGTACCAGCCTGGTCTCAAGCTGCCAAACCACAGGCTCAACTCAGTCGCACAAAACAAGCCAACCTGCTGGCGCCCTGCAAGGCCCGGCACTTGTAGAGGATGGGTCGGGGCAGAAAGCTCAGTGAGGGGGCAGGCAAAAGGAGCCAGCACGGGGCAAAACTGACCCTGAGGCCTTGACATAAATGACACAGAAGTCGCAAGCTGCAGGCAGGGCCGAGGGCAGCCAAGGAATGAGGGGCTGGTCTTGATGCCGTCCCCACACCCTCCTGCACCTCCCAGCAGGCAGAAGCCCTGATCTCACCACATGGGCGGTGGGTGAAGGCCCAGGTGGGGAAGGCAAAACCAATCCTACCCCTTCTGCCTGAGGCCCATCCCTGGAGCCAAGCTGTGCCCACCCCTAGCCCAGTCCTTCCTGGCCACTTGGAGGGCTGGGGCTCTCATGCTGTGGCCCTGGCCCTCTCCAGTAGCCAAATTCCTGGGCTACTGTGCTGCAGCCCCAATCCCAGCCCTCCCTGAAGGCCAGAGAAGCCTTCCTGGGCAGCTGGGGTTGGTATCAAGTCTGGCCCCCGCTCCCAGTTACTGCCCCCAGCCCCATGGCCCCACCAGGTGGCCAGACCACTGGGGCAGCCAGACAGCCAGTGGCACAGGTGGTTTTGGGAAGGCAAAGCCTTCCCTTGCCTACAGTACCCATCGCCTGTATCTAACTGTGCAACACACATCAAAGGCCAGTCCCCTCCTGGTGTGAATTGGTACAGCTCTTCTGAAGTCAACGAAGCGTCTCACCAGTTGGGTGATCCGGCCCCATTGATTCCAATTGACCTACAGCCAACTGGAATGTCGCCCCATTGACCCCAATAGAGATACAGTCGATTGACAGCCACTGGGAATCTGGCCCCACTGACCCCAATGGAACTGCGTCCAACTGAGCCCCACCAAGATCTGGCCTCCACAAGTGTTGGTTTGAAAACCCCACGGTGACCATGACCTCTTTGGCCCAGCCTTCGCACACATGGAAGCGTTAGCTTCATGCAGGGGAGTAGTCGGCCGGGACGGCTTGGACCGTGAGCTCTCAGGGGCCGTGTTTTCCCTGTGTCCCTTTGGCCGGGCCATGCACAAAGGAGGCGGCTATGACCCGGTCTTGTAGCATGGGCCTGGTGTGATGGTGCTACCATAATGCACACAAAATGATGGGGCCAGGGAAGCCAGCAGGGCTAGTGATGTGGGGCAGGTTCACCCTGTGCATACATATTTGCCAGGCTAGGGCCTCTTAAAGATGTGGCTTCTGCTTAAATTGCCCAGCTGAATTATGAAGATCGGTGATTTCTGGACTCTCGGGTTTCCGGACACGGCCCGATATGCCAAAGCTCAGGGTGGAGTTTGGCAGGCGAATTAGGCAAAATATCCGATCCGTCCTTAGTGCGGCGTCACTTCCCCCCAGCGCCAGGCGCTGGGCAAGACTTTCAGGCCTGTTTTCGGTCCCCTGCCGGCGGTGAAGGTTGCACCCAGGATGGTCAGATCACACGTCCGTGAGGGGCTGTGACCAGTGGGGTCTGTCTGGTGTGGGGTGGAGGACAGGGTAACTACTGGGAGACACGGGGGCTGAGATGTGCAGGGGGCAAATCTGATGCTCCAATGGTCTAGTCTGGCCTTACACTCTGCTAGTGAATGAAAAGCTGGGTGGGGCCAAGGGAGCAGCCCCTGGGGCATTACGGCCCAGCCCGCTCAGCCCCCAGACCCAGCTGCTGTTCAGTGGGGCGCTCCAAGGGGAAACCCCTCAAACAGCCAGAGGGGCCGGCCAGGGCCAGAACACCAGCCTAACAAGGGAGGGGTGGGGGTGACTATGACATCACAAAGGCCTGTGGCCGGACCTCGCCTATTGGAGGACAGGGATGACCTCACAGAGAGTCCCTGACACCAGCCAATCAGGACAGAGCTGGCGCTTCAAAGGGGCCTGGAGCTGCTTCAAAGGGTGCAACACGCAGGGGAATTGCCCGGGGCACAAATCTTTGGGGATGAAGAAATGAGGAGGACAAGGGTGGGGGTCGGGGCACACACACGCTTGCTCGCCCCTGCGCTCAATTGCCCAGTTCTGGCTCCGTGTCCATGCCGATCAGGACTGAGGGGCACTGGCAGAGCCGGGGAATCGGGAGCCCAGGGCTGGGACAGCTGGGGGGCACTGGCCATGCTGGGGGCAGAGGGAATCCCAGGGCTGGAGGTGCGGGGGGCAGAGGCCTGAGACTGGGGGTGCTGTGGGGGGAGCCCATGGCTGGTATAGCAGGGGGGAGGTGGCGGATGGAGACTGGGGGGCACCAGCAGAGCCAGGGTGTGCGGAGGGTGGCAGGGCTGAGATAGCGGAGGGAGGGGCTGTGGGCTGGGAGCGCCTAAGGTATTTAGGTACCTGTGAAACTCCCACTAGGCTCCTCTCTGCATCTTTAGGTGCCTAAACCCCTTTGGAAACCAGCCCCCTCCGTCCCAGTGACTTGCTCTGAGCCACAGGCTCCTGGGTCCCTTTGGTGGCTCTGAGGTGGGTCCTGCTGAGTTGTGTAGCCAAGAGAGGCTACTTCACACGCGGCACTTAGAAACCACAGCAGGGCAGTTATTGGTGTCCCCGTGGGAGGAGACACAGGTGCGGGCAGGATGTGGTGGGGTGTAGGTTGCTACACTTGCTAGTAGGTTCTGTGGGGAGGGTCCCTAAATAGCTGGCCTAAAATGACAGAGCGTGAGGCTGTTCTGACAAGGATCTCGTCTTTCAATGCTTTATTGCGAATTTGGACAGAGAGTTGGGCAGGCGCTGGGAGCTGCCAACTTGGTAATACTTAAAAACCAAACACGCTCGCAGGGGTGCCAGAATCGTCTCTGCTTACAAAACCCCACCCTTGCCCCACCTCTTCCCCAAAGCCCCG